CGCCCTCCGGAGGGCCGGGCTGCTTTCAAAAGCTCTTACTGCTCCGCAGCAGCAGCAGCTCCACAAAGGATGCTGGAAGCAGCTCTTTAAAATTCAGCAGCTTTTGTGCCTGACCACACGCAGCGACCTCTGGTATTTTCTGCCAAAACAGTTCATTTGTCTCGCGGAACAACTAATCAATTCCTGCGCCCATCAATCACGGGGCGCGCAGCCCGGCCCGGCGCGGGGGCCAGATGGCGGCCGGCGTTAGCGGCATTAATGCAATTCCGAGGGCAGCCGGCGGCTCCCCGCGCAGCGGGGTGGGTGCTCGGGGTGCTGCTGGCCCTGCGCTAGCTGCTCAGTCCTTGCTCTACGCAAGCTCATCCCCAGCTCCCAAGCGGGGGGCTCCAAGGAAGCACCTCGCTTCCTTTCCTTCCAGCGTTGCGGGAAAAGGCAGAGGTTTCTGCCAGAAAAAGGGCGCCTTGCGTGTGCTGCAGGCCTCGCAAAAAGCGAAGCGTGGGCCAACAAGGTCTTGGCACATCGGTCTGCCACATTTCCTAGTTTATCTGCTAGGTTTGTGGAACTGCAACTATTGGTCCATGGAAGAACTCACATCTTTCTGCTTTTGTTGGGGAAATATAACCAGAAAATGGACCTGATGCTTCAAGCAACAGTTAAATAAAAGCCAAAGCCACCGCTATAAACCGCCACTGCCGAGTTGGGCAGCGTGAAATCTGAGAGGATTCTTCCTTTAAGCAGAACCTGCAAGTGCCACCAGTCAACAGCCCATGCTCTTTTTGTGCTGGGCCAAAGCGAGAGGTGATTTAGCGAGAACCCAGAGGGCAGAGCCTTTGCTAAAACCTTTTGCAACTGCTCCCCCTTAGTCGCTGGGGGCACTTCAGCTCTTTACTGACAGGCTTTATTAATGACTCCTAATTGATGAGCAGTGCCCGGCACCCCAAAGGAAATAACTACTGTGTCTCATTAGTTCAAGCAACCTCCTCCCGATTTGAGAATTGATCTATGCACACACAAACTGCACCGATTTAACTGATTTTGTTACTAAATTGATTTAATTAGATCTGTGTAACTTGTTTCTACAGATGCTCTTGAATTTATTTGGAATCAGTGCAATGTACTGACATGAGCCAGACATTTTTCTACCTTGTCCTCAAAGTAGAAACATTTGAGATAATTAGCAATAACGCAAAACGAGCCTGGGAACCATCCTGGTTCTTCCAGTTTCTTATCCACCTCACTTCAGGACAGGGTAACGCCGCTCTGTCCATCATTTACAGATATGTACCTTAAAAAAACCTAGTGCTTAATTCCACAATAGGAACGTAGGCATTCTCACTTCATGACCCCTCAGTTAGAAAACACGCCATCAAGAGCTCAGGGAAACAGCGACCGAAGCGGGCTGAATTACCTCCCTATTTTGACAAGTCTGTTTTAATGCCCCAAATAGGCCCAACATTGGCAACTGGGTCAACAGAATAGCCTGCAACAGTTCTTTTCACAGATCTTACACATATACAGAATCTTGCACGTATACAGACATGCTGAACTTGCTGCTAACTGAAGCAGTGAAGTTTTTGCTAGCTTGGTGTCACTCAGGGCTATGCTTTCAATCATATAATTCCCACTATTAAGGTGATACTACACGTGCATAGATTTATTTCCTGCTCTGCTAAGGGAAGCAGCACTAAGATCTAAGCCATGTGATAGGGCTATATTGTAAACTACACCGAGAAAGCTCAAGTCGTACAGCTTGCACGCGGGTGACACACACCTGCACGCAGTGACACACGTTCTCGTTGTATCTCGGCTTGCAGTGCTCATGCCTGCCCAGCGAGCTGCATTAACAGATCATGCGAGTGCTTTTATCCTGCTTCAGAAGCTTTAGGAGACTTTATTTAACTGGTTTTCAGCAGCTACCAAACTATTCCAGTTGTATCAGACAGTGCAACTGTCTGCTCTTTGTTTTGTGGGGATCGAGGCTATGCTATACAAGGACACAACCAGCAGCTACCCACGTGGCACAAAATATTCCTCATCATCTGGGAAAAAACATATCCCCCTCACATCTGGGAAGAGAAGCATTAAAAGCTGCAGTTATTTGCAAGCCCTGCATGTGTCATGTTCTTGTGAAAGCAAAAACTAAACCAGAGAAGATTTAGATCACTTAAGCCAACCAGAACACCTGTATACGGTGCTGTATTTTGTGCCCAGGAAGGGGCACAAGTGGTACTTGCAGCAGCCTCTGCTCTGAAAGGATGGAGCCTCCTGCTCAGCATCCAGCAGCACCGGCACGTTCAACTCCTGAATGAACAGCTCAAACGGGACTTTAACCACAAGGTCAAATTATGAGCTCAAGACATACGCTGACAGCCTAGGGAAGAAAAAAGGAGCCTGCGGCTCCTGAAAGTGCCATTTCTCAAGCAAAATGTGAAAGCAAGGTCGTACCTGCCCACCTCTGGTCAAGGTCCAGGCGTACGTTACAGACTCTCCGCGCAAAACGGAGAAGGTCGGTCCCGGCCAAGTGATCCTTCGTGCTACAAAAGGGATTTCAAAGCCTAGGGAAGCACCCAG